GCTGCCAGCAGTAAGAGCAGCACGAGATGGTGGGTCACTAGTGTCAAACCCCAGAGCTCCACCTCTCCTTCCACAGGCTCCCCCCATGCCCAGGCAGCAAGCCAGCACCTACTTGTAGCTCCCTGGTCTGCGCCTTCCACATCCACACCCGGCCGCTGGCCGCGGTCCAAGCCACTCTCCTGGGCAGCTCCGTTCCTTGCACCTGGGTTCTCCCCAGAGCCTGCCGGTCGCTGTCTGGGCTCGCCGGCAGCTGGCTTCACAGCAGGTGTCTCCAGAGAAGAGGACAACGCCTGGGACAAAAGCAAAATAAACTTGTAGCTCCCTGGTCTGCGCCTTCCACATCCACACCCGGCCGCTGGCCGCGGTCCAAGCCACTCTCCTGGGCAGCTCCGTTCCTTGCACCTGGGTTCTCCCCAGAGCCTGCCGGTCGCTGTCTGGGCTCGCCGGCAGCTGGCTTCACAGCAGGTGTCTCCAGAGAAGAGGACAACGCCTGGGACAAAAGCAAAATAACAGGGACTCAGAACCTTTCCCGGCCTGAATATTCAGCAGCTGACAGCCTGCATCAGCTCCTGTGCTAGGCAGCAGCCCTCCCGGCTCCCCCTCCCAAGCCCGGATTCTCTCCACCAGCCTGGAGAAAGCAGGGCCCTCCTGCCGGAATGTGTCCCAGGAGGGCGGGGGGGGTGGAGAGAGACAAGATGTTTTTTTTCTTTTAGGCAGACTGCACAGGGTTGGGTAGGGGAGCTGTCTGCTGCTCACCAGCCAGCCAGCTCCATGTCTCCCGGGGGTTACAGCTGGATCTGAGCGAGCCGTCCAAGCGCTTCCAGCCAGGACGAGACAAGAAAGGCTTTGGGGAGCTGGGGGAGGAGGGGCAGGAATCAAAGCAACATCCCTCGCCTTGCCAGTGGCTGGCGGGTGGGCCAGTATACAACTTCCCTCCCCTCCGCTACCACAGTGCCATCACAGTACAGGAGGCTCCTGCTAAGGGGACACAGGGAGGGTAAGCGCCCTAGATTCAAGGGTGATTTTGAAGCCAGAAGGGATTGTTACAATTATCTAGTCTGAGCTCCTGCCCCACACAACCCAGAGAGTCTCCCTCACTCATTCCTGCATCAGGCCCAGAAACCCTATGCTCAGTTTAGAGCATCTGTCAGGGCCAGATCCTCAGCTGGTGTAAATTGGTGTAGCCTCATTGGGTCTCTTCCCCTTTATACTCGTAGGATCAGGCCCCTAACCTCAATTTACAGACTCCAGGTGATGTAGACTCCACCTATCACACCTCTTGGCGATCTGATCCTAGGGTCAATTATCCTCTACCGTTCAAAACATAGGTCTTATTTCCTGTTTGAACTTGGCTGACTTCATCTTCCAGCCACGAGGTCTCGTTACACCTCCGCCTGCCAAGCGCAAAGAGCCCTCTCGTAACAAACTCCTGCCTGCGTAGGTACGCACAGATGGCGATCAAGCCTCCGCTGAGTCTTCTCTGCGCTGAAATCTACGAATCCCCTCCTGCCTAGCACAGGCCCGAAAGAGCCTTCAAAGCCCACACTGACTTTGCACCGCTGATGCGGTTGGTTTACATTTTGCACTTCACAGGGCTTGAAGAAGGAAACTGCTCCGGTCTGTTTCTAGTTACGTTTGCTGCCTGCTCATAACTTACTCCACTTTCCCTTTCAGTTTCTGAGACAGAGCCACAGCCCCTGTGAAGCGGCAGGGCACACTCGGGGGCACACTCGGGCGCTCCTTCCGTGGAGGAGCCAGCCCTTTTCCAGCCCTTTGCAACTTCCTTTTCTCATTTACCAGCTCCATTGTCCGCCAGCTCCCCCGAGCGTCTGGGGGGTTACTAGCAGCCTTACAAATCTATCACTGCTTATTTGGTATGGAAATGAAAACGTTTGTTTGCTCTCCGTTTTGCAGTACCCCTGCCCCTTCCCTCCCGTGTCTGTTGTGCCTACTGTACCTCACAAGCTAGTCCCTGCTCTGTTGAGTGCCCTTATTCGGTGCATCTGGCATGCTCCCATTTACCGCTCCCGCTGCACTGTCCTCAGGTCTTTGTATCTGTAGTAAGCGGCAGTCACTAAAGCCATCCGCATCCTAGCTCCCCCACCGCAGGCATTGGAGCTGGAATGGATTTTTTCCATCTTTGAGACAGAAATGCAATCGAATAATACTTTCGTTTTATGTAACGTTAACGACCCTCGTTGCTAAATGTCTGGATGCGTGTCAACCTCTATACCAAACCCGGCACTTTCCAAAGTGACAGGCTTTATGGGGCTGCACAGAGCTGTTCTACACTCTCCCTGACAGCCAGAGCAGGTGTGTCACATTAGCTTCAACTTGGGCATATTAAAAAGGGAGGGAGAAGAAGGCAGAGAGAAAAATGCGATGATCCACCAGATAATGGTTTAAGCTTATAAATTTGGTCCTGCCTGTGTCAGAAACCCTAGGAAGTTGGTGAACGTGGCCTAGAACTCAGAGAGAGAGAGAGAGAGAGAGAGAGAGAGAGAGAGTGTGTGTGTGTGTGTGTGTGTGTGTGTGTGTGTGTGTGAATGAGAGAGAGAGAGAGAGAGAGAGGCGTGTGCCAGATTGACAAATGCTGTCCAGTCAAACTCAGTCAACTGTATCAATCACTCACACAACTCAGCCATCCCGCTAATGCCTGCACCATGGACTGCTGGCCAGCAGAGACCAGCTGCAGAAAAATTCCTGAGCTGCAGGGTCACCCCCCGCCTCCCCCCCAGTGAGAAGATCCTCCCCTGTGCTACCTCAGTTGATGGGAACCTGCAGGAGGGGGTGTGCGCAGAGAAAGAGACCCAGGTCACACGGTCAGTCCACAGTCAGAATTGTGGCCGTTACGGAGGGGTGTGCATGTTACAGGGTGTGCTAGCCATGCGAGCGCAGGCCCATCCTAGCCCTTGGCTGGCCCCCTGCTCAGGTACCAGCCAGAGCCTCTGCCGGTGCCCCAACCTCCACACTGCTCTTTTTAACGCTACAGGGGACTGGGAGGCCCAAACCCATCAGAGAGCACTTGGGGTTGCACTCAGATCTGCAGAGAACAGGTATCATGTGCCCCGCCCAGCGCGTGCACAATCTCACTGGACCCCTGAGCCAACCCCACAATCGCAGCACATGCGGGCAAAACACAGCACGGCACTAGCGCATGCCGACCAGCTGTACTCAGAGAGGAGGGTGTCTCTCCCAGCAGATCACCCTCCGAGCAGTGAATACCGTGTGCGACTTGAACCCAGACCTTCCCGACACGTGCAGCTAACCAAGCCCAACCCAGCCCTAAGTGTTACCAGCCCCTTCCTGCCGTAGGACTCCCGAGAGAATGCAGCTGGGTTCTGTCCACTCCAGGACTTGGCACGAGATGGGGGCTGTGCCCAGACAGACTAGAGAGATAGTCAAAGCAGGAGGTTTTAGGTCAAGGAAGGAGCATTTGGATGGAGCCAGACAGGCCTGCAGTAAGGACCGGCGGGGCGGGTGCAGGGGGTCCCCGCTCCAATTTACAAGCACTAAGGCCAGGGCTGCTGTGCAGAAAAGATTTTATGTTGATCCAATTTTTTCGACGGCATAGCCCTATAAAACTGGGAGCGTCTAAGTAAGATGAATGGTCCATGAATTTTGCTGGGAAGCTCTTAGAATCAATGAGCCACACATGGGAGCAGACGTATAAATTTACCATTCGTTTCCTGGAAAGGTTTAATTTATGGAATCCATATGGTAGCACTGCACAACCGCGAGCGCTCGACAAATCCCACAAGCCCTCGAGTGGCAACACTTACTGACTCCACCTGGCAGCTTTCCACCCACTTGCGCCGGCATGTCCTGTCTAATCCCTGCCAGGGCAGCCCACGGTCCCACAGGGCTTGTTAGGGGAAACATGGGTGTAACTTTGTGCTGCTGCTGCTGCTCTTTTGCAATTATTAATAGAAAGTGACGCTTTCTGCGTGGCAGGACTGATTGCTGCATGTCGGGTTTTTTACTGCGCGGCATCCGGTTTAATTGGGCACCACGCGGCCGCAGTGGCGCGCGGCGCCTTGCAGGGGAAGGCGGCGGGCATGTGCAGGGAAAAGGGTACATCAGGACCTGTCCCCCACAGATGGAAACAGGTTCCTTCTCCTCCAAACAAAGTCTCCCTCCAGGACTGCATCTCAGCAGCCTCCTCTGAATTGGGGCTCCCAGCCAGCAAGGCAGCTGTACTTGTGTGTAACCGCCACCAGGCGGATTTGAACCTGGGACCTCTGAAGCTGAGTATAGGACAGCGGTCACCAACCAGTAGATCAGGATCCACTGGTAAATCTTGGAGCCTCTGACAGGTGATCCTGACTAGTCCAGCTGGGAGGCTATCAAGTACCAGCCCTTCAGCTGCCCTTCCCCACACAGCCCTGCTGCTCCTGTCCAGATCCTCGGAGCTGCTCCTGAGAGCCTCCTGCTTGTTGTACAGGGTGGGGGAGACAGAGGCGGGGGGGATGCTGATGTCAGTCTGTCTCCCTCTCCTGTACCCCATCTTCACAGAGTGAGGAGGGCAGGGCCTCAGCAAAGGGGTGGAGCAGGCGCCGGGCCTTGGAAAAGGGGTAGGGCAGGTGTTTGGGTTTGAGGTTGATCCTGGACTGACAAATTCAAAAAGTGATCTTGTGCTTAAAAAGGTTGGTGACCCCTGGTACAGGCACCTCTACCCTCTGAGCTAAAAGCCATCTGGCTCTCAGCCCATGCTGTAGAGGTCTCTTGATCTTATCTGTTGCTGTGGTCTAGGTACCACTGCACGGGACAGTGAATCACACTAGGGGTGTGTCTAGACTACAGGGTTTTGTCGACAAAAGTGGACTTTTGTCGACAAAACTATACCTGCGTCTACACTGCCTCTGAGTTATGTCGACATAATGTAGACAAAACTCAGCAGTTTTGTCGACGTATGTAAACCTCATTCTACGAGGAATAACGCCTTTTGTTGACAGAGTTCTGTCGATAGAAGGCATTACTGCATCTACACTGTCCTTTGCGTCCACACTGTTATGTTGACAAAGCGGCTTGCTTTGTCGACAGAAGTGGCTGTAGTCTAGACGCTCTTTGTCGACAGAAGCTTTGTCAACAGTATCTGTCAACAAAACTTCTGTCAACAAAACCCTGTAGTCTAGACATACCCATACTGTTAACAAAGCTTCTGTCGACAAAGAGCGTCTAGACTACATCCAGTTCTGTTGACAAAGAAAGCTGCTTTGTCGACATGACAGTTTAGACGCAAAGGACAGTGTAGATGCAATAACGCCTTCTGGCGACAGAACTCTGTCGACAGAAGGCATTATTCCTCGTAGAATGAGGTTTACAGCCGTCAACAAAACTGCTGAGTTCTGTCAACGTTATGTCGACAGAACTCAGTGGCAGTGTAGACGCAGGTATAGTTTTGTCGACAAAAGTCCACTTTTGTCGACAAAACCCTGTAGTCTAGACACACCCCTGCGTCTACACTGCCGCTGAGTTCTGTCGACATAA